GGGGGTGTGTGGGAGATCGCCAAAAAATTTTGCAGTGAAAAAATATTTTTCAGTAAACGTGCCCTTGGTGTGCGTCCGCCCCCCTTTGCCCTATTATCGTTCCGGCGTCCCTGAGGACAGCTTTTGCCAGATGATAGTAAGGCTTGTACATGTTTGAGAATTACCATCGCTTATACTACAGCTGGATAGTCAGGGAGGCCAGGAAAAACCTGCAATACAGGAAACCTGAATGGGGCCAAGGCAATTAACCAGCAGCTTCCCCACAAAGCTTCTATGTTACAACTTCTCAATAGGAGCGTTGGTAACGCGACAAACAAAGCTCTATCTCGGCAATTTTTTTATTTTTTTAAATTTTTTTAATTCATTTATTCTTTCACTCAGTTTTAAGTGTTTTTAAAGAGACCCAGTATGTGCCGAACTCTTTGTCTATCCAAATCGTTCGCTTGGTGAAGTAACCAATTAAAGTGCCTATATCAGGGTCAGGGAAATGACTTTTCCTGATAGTTTAGACGATTTTAAGAACATTTGCAATATATTTGACTAGACGAAAATTTGATCTTCATGGACTTTTTGGGCATCAAAGTTGGTGATTTTTCGAATTACCGCGAGCTTGAAAGTACTGGTAACTAATCGGCGTTAACCGCCGGAAGTGACGTAAGAATGAGAACACGCTAATCTTGCAAAGTATCATAACAATAAAACAGTATAGAATTTTAGTCCAAAATATCGTCCGATTTTTTCCGTTTAATAACATTTTGGGTTAACTTTTCGCTTAAACAATGTCGTCAAGTTTTTCCGACAATACGGACAGCAGCCAACTTGATTCGGATACGAATTTTTTACCAAATTATACAATGGAAATCGAAGATGATGCAGTTCAGCCTCCCACAGACAGCTCAACACAAAGCGATGAAGACCAGTGGCCAGGCTTACAACCTTACCATGACGAACCGATTGCTGATCCAGCTTGGATAGCTCAATACAACGAAGAGAGACGTGCCGAAGAAGAGAGAAGACAGCTGCTTAATTATGTCTCGCTTGAACGGAACCATCCCTGTATAAAATTAGTAGGTGAAATGTATACTATATGAGCTCAGAGCTCGTGTTTACATTCTGTGTAGACGCTATACGGCGTACGCAGGCTAGTGTTGACACTCATGTAAAAATATTTTCCTTTTTCGTTTGACAAATCACAATGAATATTATATGGTGTTTCTTTTTATTTCAGGTGTACATGCGAACTATGTAAAGTCGATTAACTGGTAAATGATAGAAAGAGGCTCAATGCTGCCAAGAAATCGAAGGCTGCTTAGAAGCATTAGGGACAGAACTTGTTTTACAAGAAGTAGGTGCTGAGCCAAATTGCATAACGCTTCATCCAGGCTTTGGTTCGGTCTGTTTATCACCCTGGTCATTGCGTCTGGCAGGGCGTAAATTTCGAAAAATAGATGGCAGGAAGTATAACGTGGAAGGTGATGAAAACAGGCAAGACACATATAATTTATATATGTAATAATATATATATATATATATATATATATTAAACAATATAATATAGCCATTTTTAACCCTGATAAATAAATCCCCACAATTTGTTATCAATCAGAAAATTTCATTTATATAAAACTATTACAAATATTACATGAAAAATTTCTTATATTATAGGTATTTCCGAAGTGTTGCCTATAGAGAGTATATACAATTGGTTTATGGATACTTGGGAAAGAGAAGAATACCTTTACCAGCATGTGCTTATCATGCCATACGACAAGCTTTTGGTGGAAAAGACTTCAAAGGTTTTGAGGATGATGAAGAGTTGGAATGATATCATCACAATAATAATGCATTCAAAAGTGCCCACCCCCAGGGCTTCTGACATTTTAAATAAATCTTGTTAACCCATTAATCGCCAGCACTCTCCCCTTGACGAGTAAAATCGTCTGGCATTAGACAGAGTAAAATAATAAAGTATGGTGCATCAGGGCGCAATGCGACTCAATGGGTTAAATAGACACATGGGCAGATAAGTCAGTTAACCCATTAAGCACCAGTGCTTACTGGTTAACTCTTGGATTTGAACAATGCAAAAAAAATTACTACATCTGTATAATTTAATCAGCTAGTATGTACAGTGTAGTTTGCAAATTAGTGTAATGTCAAATTTTTTTGTAATTATTTTTTATTACGAGGACAATCCTTAATTTGGTCATGGTGTTTCATTCTGTTGCCACAATCCTTGCAACGGGGCTTTGCTCTTTCTTTTTTCTGTGCCTGTGGGGCTGGTGTTGGTTGCTGAATAGGAACTACAAAATGGATAATATTTTCTTTGTTAACATAATTTGCAAATTTAATTTTTTATCTACTTGATAACTGATCCCATACACATACTGTATCTATAACTGTATTGCCTGTCTTCAGTATATGCAAGATATTTTCACTTTTTCAATCTTACCTTCGCCAGTTGGTGGAACATTGACAACAACTTTCTCTTTCCGCTCGCTCATCTTTCGAATAGCTTCCTCTTTTGATTGTTTTTCCAGCATCGTATTCATGGGAGCCGGTGTCATCTTTACCAGTTCATTGCATGCAGCCTCGACTGCCTCTTCATCCATATTGATCATAACATTAAAAATTTATTTAACATAATCTAAAATTTCATCATGTATAAATAGAAAATGTAACTGCAGTCGGTGACAGAAATTATTAAACACAAGTGGCTCAAGTACTTAGTCATGTCTGGCCTGGTGTGCATATACTGCATATTAATGGCCATTCCCCAATTAACCAAAATATTGATCTCAACAAGTCTAGACAAAATTCCATCATATCATGAAAGAGCATCACAAAATTAGTAATATTCCAAAGTTTCGTTGCGAAATGTTGTAAAATATGGATAATATAGCCTTGCGAAGATTGTAATTTTCAGTCATTTTGTATTACGCACAGAAGTGGTAACCATTTCCCATTTGTAATCTAAAATGACTGAAAATTGCAAACTTCGCAAGGCTATATTATCCACATTTAACATTTTACACTAGGCCCAGGCCATGTTGAGGGTTCATCTTGATCAGCCAATGTTGAAGTAGATGGTTCACCTTTGTCAGTATAAACTTCAGCCATTGTTGAGGTTTCACCTTGTTCAGTCCAGGTGGAGGGTTCACCTTCCTCTTTTAGCCACGTACTTGACCGCTTAGCATGTATCACCTGTTAGGTATAATGAATACATATAATTTTAATGAATATATATGGCACGATTTATTATGCATTCTTATATAACATATTCACATTGAACGAAATTAAGGCTGACAACTGGCAATAGTAAAAACATAATTACTAAATGCATTACTTACAGAATGTCGGCGATCTCTTGCGGATAAAGGTTTCATTTCATCGCCCAAGACTAAAATCGTCGGATAGTTGTCTGTCTTTAGTAGCTGTTTCAATTTTGGTTTCTCAGTCGTCAAACCAACAGCGAATGGTCTCACAAAATCTTCGACCATAGAATGTCTTGAGCATATCTTCGATGAAGCTGTTGGTTCGAAGTTCAGTCTCTTTCGTTTCACAAAGTCAACCCATCTTTTCCTTTGCTTTTTTGCCTCTGGCCGATTGTCATTCGCATACGGAATATTGTGCAGCGATATTCCTTCATTTTGGCTTAGTAATGTTGGAACATCCATACTCTACACACAGGGGGCAGAAAAGTACGATTGTGTTTATTTATAATACCTTGTCATCATCCTATATATGATATATTGATATATCGCATAGTTTCATCCAGGTTTCATCACGATGAAAATTATGTTGATTTTAAATTTTTTTCGATAATATCATGCCTACTACTTCATGTAATTCAAACATTGTATTACGAGGACTGACCATAGTAGCGTGGGCTCATACTAGAACTATTGACTTTGCTTACACGTACAAATCAGAGCGTACAAATAATAGAAAGGGATGAAATCCCCGATCGTGAAATATTTCGAATGGATACAACTGGCGTGTTTCTGAACCAAAACCTTTTATTTTTTGTGTACAGTTTAGATATGATACCGTCAGGATACCTGTCCAAGGAAATTTTAAGAAACGGCTATTAAACCGAAATTTTTGGGACTACAATTTTGGCTTATTTTGTTTCAATGTGCACCGCAACAACTGGTGACGGAAGTTAATTCGACATTGTAACCGGATATAGAACGGAAGTTGAAGGAAAATTGACCTTTCATCTTCCATGACCTTTTAATCGAATTAACGGTTAATAATTTGAATATACAACTGACAAATTTAAAAAAATAGTGCGATTCACCCGTTTCAAAAGCAACACACGCTCTTGTATCTAAATGTATAAAGCTTTTCAATAATTTTAAAACAATTGTTCTTGAATCGATCAACCGTGAATATATTCAGTTATAAGTTATCCACGACTTTGAACTTTGTCTATGACTGCATGTAATCCAAACGGCAGTCTTTACACAAAACACGGTCACGATATAAATTCGTCTTCGGAGTGTGTGCAGACTTAAGATATATCAATAGACTATTTAAATTAAAAAATAAACTATATACATGTACTTCTGGGGCGAAAAAAATGGCAGTAAATTTAAATAAACTCTGAAACGGTTTTGTTAATTCGGTTAATATAGACCTTTTTGTAAGTATATAAAACACCGGTGCAATTTGGCTTGTATTTTGTAGGCTTTGTATGAATTATCAAATAAGTGACAATTCTTTCAATAAGTGACAATTCAATTCAAGGAGAATTAAATTCAGTGACAATTCAATAAGTGACAATTTATATCAGCTTATTGTTATTTTGAAACTGTATACTAATCATAAAAATACTGTATGATCCTGTAATATATTATATATAAATCAGTTGGAAAAATAGTTTTCGTCATGCGCAATATCTTTGTAAGTGCGTAACTACGTCACTTCCGTCACCAGTTGTTGCGGTGCACATTGAACGAAAGGTTTTCGGCGTTTCATCCCTTTCTTATTTATGTACGGGCTACACCCTCGGCATCCTTTCGTAAGATGTTCGGAAATTGTCGTTGCAATGCAATGATGTTTGAATTACATGAAGTAGAAGGCATCATATTATCGAAAATATAAAAATCAGGTAATTTTGATCCTTTTATGACTTTTATGACTTTGTCTGCGGATTGTTGTGATATAAATATCCGATATTGGCTGATGACAAGGTATTTATAAAACACAATCGTACTTTTCTGCCCCCTGTGTGCTACACAAGTAGTGTAATATAACCGATCCTAGCTCATTTGTGTTGATACTTCATGTAAGGCAAATTATAGTGGATCCGGGCAAGTATGGGCATGCCCGGAATGGGATTTCCGGAAATCAGAATTCCCGGAATAGAATCGATGACGTCACTTCCGGTCCCCGAATTCCCTCTGCCTACCGGACACCTCCCCCACCGCTCGCGCATTCACAGCCACCCTCTCCCCCACCGCTCGCGCACACCTCCCCCACCGCCCGCACAACCGCAGCCGTCATCTCGCATCATTCCCGTACATCCCGTTTAGCATCATTCCCGTACTTTGGTTTGCTGATGTCCAGGATGCTCATTCCGAGGTATATGGGTTTTACGAGTCTTACGGATGTCCTTCTCATATGAACTCCCACCAGGTTTTCGGAAAAGATGGTAGCCGATTTGAAGTTGTGTTTTTTGGCTGGCTTGTTCCATTTCTTTTCGTCGTTGACGATTCTGATATCAACCCTATTCCTTACGTTTTCCATGGTCTTTCCGAATACGGAGTTATTCATAAGTTTGAAGAAATCTTTTTCGAAGTCTGTGGTTCCTTTGGTACGGAGGTCTGTGTTGAGTTGTATGTATTCTTTCATCCAACCCCTTTCGAGGAATTTAACTTCGCGGTATATTTTGGTTAGCTTTAACCCCAGGCTCAGGTATTGTTTTAGGTTTGTGTGGTGGAGGACGTATTTTTCCTTATTGTTAAGGTTAGGGATGAGCTTTTCCGTCTTGTTAACCTTTATCCTTTCGGGTGCTAGGGGGTATTCGTTGTGTAGGTCGTGGAGATTATCTGGGTATTCTAGATCCACTTCGAGGATGCAACTGTGTTCCGTCCATTTTTCCAACTCATTGCTGTCCATCCATTTGAAGTCTTTGATGGGTAGGGGCTGACTCATTGCCCATCCGTAGAGGTTGTTTGCGTCTATATATGGGAGATACTTGCTTTTCTTCTTGGGGTTGTAGTTAGACATGTACTTGTTGTTGGCTATGGCATGTCTTTTGGTGATGGTGCTGATTTTTCCTCGGATTCCCCTTTCTGTGTGTAGGTACATGTCTGGATCGGAAATAAGTTCCAGTTCCACTTTGGTTAGTTTTAGGCACGCATCCCAGGCAAGTCCTGGCGCTGTGTAGTACCACAGGGGATCGAGTCCGTAGTTTGTTCTGCATACTTTTCTGAAATTTTCCATAACATCTGCCAGGAGGGGGACGTCTGTGTTAAGGTAAAGGTTGTGATAATCCCTCATGGTTTTCATGTTGAAGGTGTTCCACACGACTGTGCTCTTTTGTAATCGGTGTCGCTGATGTTTTCGCCGGTAAGACTGCTGAAGAATTTGCTCTTGGGTGGGAGGTTCGTCTCTTCCAGCTTGTCGAATCCATCCATATACTCATAGGGTATACACCCTTCTGTTTGAGCATTTCCTATTGCTCCCTGGTATAGTGAGTTGTCATTAGGTCCAGATTTTTGAAGTCGTCCTTACCCAGACCCTTGGTGAGTTTGTCCAGGGAGCTTGCCATAAATTTGAAGGAGTCCAGGAATCTTAATTTCCTTTTGACTTTTTTTTCCTTACCGTCCTCGTTTTTAAACCTATCAATCTCTACCTCCTTGGTAAAGGATATGTATTTTTCTTCCGTCTTTGGAATGCATTTGATGTCTCCACTGCTTACCCCGAGGTTTTTGATAAATAAGTGGGCATCATACCCTTCAAGGTTATGGAAGAGGACTGGTATGAATTTTGGTTGCTTCATCTTGAGGTTGCATGAGTTGTGTGCTGCACCCCTATATTTGCCTGTGTAGTGACAATGGTCGTTGACTTTGTAGTCCATTAGGGTGAATTCTTCCTCACATGCGTAGCAGGTGGTTGCTTCTTGAACTTGCTGTAGATATCCTTTATTCCCTCTACAAGCATGTCCACAAATTTTTTGGTGATGTCTTCCCCCTCATACTGCTGGGTATAGTGTACCAGCTTGGGTTTGTAGATGGAGTCGTCGAAGCACTTAATGTAGTAGCAGAATCCGCTGGGGTTGTGTTTCTGGTATTGTGTGGTACTTGACTTGTCTAGACTCTGCTCTTCTGCGATCAATTCCTTGATGTAGCACTCAAAGTCTGCGTAGATGGTAATCGGAAATTCCTGTGTCTTTTCATAGTTTTCTAATTTTGTGGTGCTACCGGGTTTTGGATATTCATGTCTTTGATAGTCGTTGTTCAAGCATAATTCCAAGTGTTTTTCTAGGAGTTCATTTGATCCGAATGCGTTAAGGCATCGGTCACATATGTATTTTTTGTGTCCGTTCTTGCTGATTTGTGAGCCTACGAGTTTTGACATGTCCTTGATGACACTGTAATGGTTTTTCCATAGGAAGAGTCTTATGGGATCGGTTTTTCCTGATACTCGTAAGGGGTATACCTTAAGGCTTTCGTCGGCACTGAACACGGTAATACCGACGTTGTTGTTCTCTTCGAACTTTTTGATGTTATTTAGGGGTGTTGGGAATTCAATCCCTTCCCAGTTTAGCTTATTGGATTGCCCTTTAAGTTTCTTTGTAATTCTTTCCGAGTTTTTGTCGACAGGGTTTAGGGCACGTGTGATAGCCCACTTGAAACATTCGTTGTCGTCGTTCTTCATATTGATAATTGCCTTTTTGCTTGCTATGGATTTGGGTAGGGGTTTGTGTTTTTTGCCCCTAAGTGGTCGGAACTTTCCGATGTGGATTTCCAACTGGACAACTCTGCGTAGTCTCCATCCGCTACCCCTCCTTTGATACTCCGAGAAGGACTTTAGCATCTTTTCCCTCATGATGCTTTGGGTTTCTTCCGTATCATCCGTGCCGATAAGTTTGTGGTTTTTTTATCCGAAGTGAGCGATGGTTGACACTTCTTCCCCGGTTTTGGGATCGCTCTTTACCATCTCACAGGCCAAGGACATCCTCGCGTTTCTGGGTTCCGTTTCGGAATTTATAAGTGTTCTGACCTCGTCTTCCGTGATGGTTAGGAAGTAGGCTGGGTCGTAGTTACCGTTTGGGGTAATGACGTATTTCCTTACTTTACCCTTGATAGCATGTTTGGTTAAAACTGGTTTCAGGATTTCCCCCGGTTTTTCCCAGATTTTACTAAGCTTGTCAGCCACCTTTAACTGGAGTCTGGCAAATTTCTTCTTACCTTTCCATTTGCCCCCTGCGATTCTACGGTTTTCCTCGGCTCGTCTTTCGCGGGCCTTTGCGTTCCGTCGTAGTCGTTGAGTCTCCTTTTTCCACTTTTGAGCCTCGGCTTTCCAGTCCGTGACCTCCTTTCGTCGTCTTTTTTCTTCCTTGGCGATGTCGGTCTTCCATTTCTTTGTATCCCTTATTTCCTTTCTTACGTTAGCCTCGGTCTGTCTTCTTCGACTCTGGAACTGTCTTGCTGCTGATTTAACTTCATTTCCGATTATTTTTCTCTTTTCCTTCTTGAGTAGTTCGTCGAAATGGTTGTTAATTTTCCCTTCTCCAGAACGTTAGTCCTCATCCGTTCAATAGATGCGAATTTTTTGTTTGAAACTGAAATACTCTGGCTTTCGGTTGCCATTACTTTATTATATAGCTAAACTTTTTCTAATCTGTGACATGATCTGAATGTTGATTCTGTTTTTTTCAAACCCATAAGGTTTGGAAATAGTAATGGCAACTCCAGAGTATTCAGATTCCGGACGTAGGAAAGTGTTCCTTTATTATATAAGACTTATTTTGGAAAAGTTGATTCTGTTTTCCTTTTACAGGTGTATAGAGGTTCCTATAGGTATAATACCGGTCCTATCCCAAGGTGGTGGTGTGTTTACGATTCTAAGCATACACACTCTTCTTTCAACCCATCGACAGTCGGAGGAAAACTCCAGGATTTCCTCCCTTGCTGCAGCAAGAACTTTTTCCGCGTTGTTGATATCGGTCAGTCTGTAATCGCTGGACTCGAAGCATCTTTTGTTGGGTTCATCCTTCTTCCACATATTACATAGCAGACTTAAATAGGTTTCCATTGGATCCGCTTCCGGATCCAGCAGCATTCTTACCTTGTTCACTGCTGAGGATAGAAGTGGAATTTGGTTGTTTATGTCTTCGAAAATGAATACAAGCTTTATTGTGGGATTCGTTTCCGCTCTGCCGGACTGTCCTCCGTTCTGACTATTAGCCATCTTTGTCCCTAATTATATACAAAGGAAATCGACTAAAAAAATTTTTTGATTCTGTTCACAATTGTACCCCGCCAGGTCACTACCTGGCAACTTTAATCAATCTGACCATGAAGAACTTCATTTTGGTGTGCTAGGTCCTAATAGGGCAACTCCTGTTTCGTTTAGATATTTTCCTCTAAAGTAATTATTAGAAAGGAAATCGGCAGGACCCAGGTTTATTACGTCTTCCTTGTCCTTTATGTTTTTAATGTAACATGTTTCATGTGAAACGGCACGCCAATTGGTACTGACGATAACTAGTATACCATCCTCCCCTTCCCATTCGGTTCTTGACGTTACCTTACGTATTTCAGCGCCTTTTCCCATAAGCCCATCCCCGAACTTAATGCCGACTCTTGCTATATGTTGACCAGCTGGTGGTAGATGCATCACTTCGTCGAATTTGTTCATACTGAATTCTATGATGAACATCATGTCCTTCTAGTTGACCCTTTTACACATCCTTTCGACCTGTGGTACCTTTTCGTGGCAGTCTATGAAGAATTCGCACCTGTGTTTATTCTTGACTGGTCGTTCCATGGTTGCTTTGTTTATATGTAGGGAAGTCTTGTCTATAGATTGTTGATTCTGAATTTGAGGTACTTTTAAGCAGAATTGAGTTTACTCAAATGTAGTCATAAGTTATTCAAATGTAGTCATGAGGTTAGTCAAATGTAGTCATCAGTTACTCAAATGTAGTCATAAGATACTTTTGACTAGATTTAAGGTTAGTCTTGACTAACTTTTGATTAGATTTAAGGTTAGTCTTAACTAACTTTTAACTAGACTTAGAGTTACTTACAAGTTAGTTAACTTCTACTATAAATAAAAGGAACCATGTCAGAAGAGAACCCAGATACGACAGCAGTACCTGTCACAAATCCGGTAAAGACCCACGTCAAGGATCCCAGAAGGGTGGAGGCAGGGCGTAGGCTTGCTAAGATCAGTAAGGAAGCAAAAGCCAGGAAGAAGTCACAACTCGAAGCTATCAAAGAAGAGGAGCAAAATGTTCCAATTGAAGAAGAGGGGTCAATAGTCACCCTAGAGAGGGTCGGCTTGGTAGTGGGTATCGCCGTAGGGCTCGGATCCCTTTACTTCATGTGGTACAGTAGTCAGGAGAAGGACGAGAAGCCTGAGGAAAATAAAACTGTAGAGGAACCGGAACCTGTTGTTATTACACCAGAAGGTCCTGATCTTTTTGACTGAGTATAATAAAACAATGTCACAACTATTCCTGGACATACTGACCTTTTCCGTAGCAGCTGGAACCTGTCTTATTTACATCCATGCGGCTAAGGCGAAAGAAGCCAAACGCAGGGTGGTGGAAACCGAACGCAGGGAGAGTGAAGACAGGATGCTCGACACACTGGAAAGAAGATGCTCTCTACTCCTGGAAGAGAAGCTAAGAGAGAAATAGTTCTATTATAATAAAAACATAATGACCGACACGAAGAAGGAAGTGATCAACGCCGCATTATTAACAACCGGAGTTGTTGGGGTATCCTACCTTGCCAAAACGGTTGCCGGAAAAAGCCTCGGCGCACCAATGACTATGGAAGGAGCAGCAAAGCTTGCCGTTGCTGTGGCCGGAAGTGCATTTGCCATAGGATACCTGAAGGATAAGGGGTATATCCCAAAAGTAATTGACAAATAAAGAATGACATCTGTTGTGATTGGAGGACTCTTTAATGCCGTGGCTTTTGCCGGAGCCGGCTTTCTATTTTCAAGGTTGAATGGGCAAGGCTACAAGGAAGAGGTAAAAAGACATAACCAAGCCTTAGAGAAGCTTGCGAAAGCCAAGGAGAAGTATTACGAATCTGAGGTGAAGCGTAGGAACGACGAGGCAAGGCGTAGGGCCGAGATCCTGGATGCTAACAAGGATATCAAGGAAACGAACAGGGCACTGGAGGACCTGAGGGATTATACGAGGCTTATGGATAGTACGGCATCCCAACGCAGACCAAAATTGGAGGATTACTATCAACCATCGGATGAAATGAAGAGATATGCAGTGTTGACAGTGGGTATACTGGGTATTGGCGGTGCTTATGGATTGACACGAATATTTTAAATCTTACGGAAAGATTTAAAAAAAATCCTATGTTGTCAAGAGCAAGCAATTTACGGACGTAGCTCCTGTTCTGTTGGTTACATTTCCAGCAGAATCTATGTCCTTAAATTCAACACCATGGATCTGGATGTTTGTGCTGGTAACTATGAATGAAAAAGATGTTCGGATAATTTTACTCCTCTGGTCAACTGTAAATATGACAATCGTCCCCCTATTCGTTTCGTAAAATCCGTACAGAGGGGATGAACTTGAATAGTTTATTTCAAAGCCACTGACACTAAACACCATAAATTTTGCACTCTTCTTATCGGTGTCTGTAATGGTGGGTGTTTGTAGAAATCCGGGTGGATACCCAGGTACTTGGGAAAAGTCGTACTGAACCGTGTTTTCTCCCAAACTATTCAACTTTATGATATCGTTCGCGTTTTTGATGACCTCTGCCGTGTTCCCCTGTTGCACCTTTTCGACTGTTGTTAACTTCCGTTTTAAGGTATTCAGGTCTTCTGCTGTTGTATCAAAGTAATCGTACCCAAATAATATGCTCATTTTATTTAACGTCGAAATCAGGGGCGTGGCGAACGATTCCAGATTGGGGGGGCGTCATACCATACTGACCAACTTTTTCAAAGAAAATGACCAACGTTTTCGTGTTTAAAAAATTTTTCTCGAAATTTTTTTTGGCAACTTCCCCCCCCCCTCCCCCCCCCGTCGCCAAAACATTTTCAGTCAGTGTACCATTTTAGGGGTAAAAAAAATTTTCCGGACCTATCGCATTTTTCGCGACATTAAAATTTTTTCGGATATCACAAATTTTCTCCGTTTATCAAAGAACTTTTTCTAAAATTCTGAACATTTTTTGGATTTTCTCAAATTTTGGTAAATAATGTAAGATTTCGTTTAATATTAAAATAATTCCTTTGACCAACTTTTCAAAAATTTTGACCAACTTTTCAAAGTTCAGAATTATTGGGGGGGGGGGGCGTCGCACCCCCCCAAGACCCCCCAGTCGCCACGTCCCTGGTCGAAATACTAGATATGCAAGTCCGAAGGATGCTACTGCCGCTGTCCCAAGAGCAATATTTTGAGTATCAGACTTCTTCCTCAGTTCCGGGGGTTTAAAGTCCTCCACAACAGGAACCGGTGTAATGTCGTGACTTTCATCTATATTATTCGTGGGGGTAGGAACAGGATTACTTGTATAATTCACCTTCTCATTTTTTCCGAACGTCATTCCGTTTTTAGCTACCGTTAGAACATTGCTGAATATTGGAATAGGTTTTGTTAGGATCCTCAAGTCTGAAGGAATTACGATTAGATCTGGCATGATAGCAAAATTTAGGGTAACATGTGTGTTAGCAATGGCTGTCCTCATGTTGGATATGGTAACTGTCACATCGTCTTGTACAATTGTATCTCTTGCTACCTCCGGAAGACCTCCTGTGTCTGTAGGCTCTTTGCACCCTGACCCGTAATACTTCACCTGGTTTTGGCTTGTGCCCCCAATACAGAATACACGAACGCTTCGATGGATTGCTGGAATAATTTCTGTCCAACTTTGGTAAGTCCCCGGGATGTTTTGGGAATAAGGATCTTATAATCATTCTCAACATCAAGGGGTGATCTACCAGTCAGGTATTCGTATTCGATAAATGTACCTCCATATTTGGTCAGATGGTACTTCTGACGTCGTATTCTTTTCTGTTCACTCACAGGTAAGCCATAATACCATGTTCCAAGATTTGCGTGGGAAGAGACAGTCCTCCTAACCCATGTTTCACGTACAGGTGTATACTTCCTAATAGTTCGTATATCATCCCCTGTAAGGTATTGGTCCAAGAGTTTGGGGTTACGCATGAACCTCGATAGGTGAAAATGAAGGTGGAAGCGAACGATGGAGGTTATTATGTTGGAGTGTGAATTGGGAAAATTGTTTTTAAGGTGATCCTCGGAAATTCCGGACTTAAACATAGCAACGTAGCATGCCGCTAGAGAGCAAAAGTAGGAATTGGAATGATAGTCGAATGGTATAGTATTGATAAAGGTTTCGGGGGGTTTATCGTATACTGGCTTAATAGGCTCCAGTTTCGTTAGGAAATTCTCTGCCTCCGTAACATAGACCTTAAAAGTATGCATATCCATCTTAAAATCCTTATTTGGTCGAAAGATTGCATCCGGAAGAACACTTCGCCACCCCTCTGCCCAGTGAAGATATTTGGTCCACTCCGGATTTGTACGAAATGTGTCTGATGTGATATCATAGCTTGTGAGGTCATCCACCTTATAGAAGATGTCCCTGGACCCTACGGTCCCATCCTTGGCAAAGGTAACCTCGAAGTCAAACTTAGATAGGATCGCATTCGGATATTTTCTCCTAAAATTCTCTTTCATTTTCCGTATTTCGACGGGTACTGCCGCCTTAACCTTCTCATAATTCTTTCCGTAGTAGTTCCGGAAGATTTCCTCACTCATTCTTTTATTTAATGTAAAGTTCTAGCAGGACATCTCCGGGAACAGCTCCGGTATTAGACCCAATTTCAAACCGAATCTCACTGTATTTTCCAGCATCCACCCGTACTTGGCTTTCGATGTCGTTGTATTTGGTTGTGGTTCCAAAGAGGGGTCTTGTTCCATCAATCGGAAGGGATGTGATGACTGTACTCCGGTTTCCGTACGGTCCGATGTTGTGCTCACGGTTCATAAGGGTACAGCTGACTGTGAGGTATCGCAGGCCTTCATGAATGTCTACGGGACGATCGCTAATGTGTGGGGTGTATGTAGGACCATTGGAGGACCGATATCCCAAAATACTCGTGAGATTTCGGAGTCCTACAGAATTTGTTCCTTTGGCAAAGTCAATCCTTATCCTCCCATCGGGATATTCCTTAAGTGTCAATCCGTTTTCCTCCAGCTCTTTCCTATAAGCTGTTTAATTAAAGGTCCAGTACGCTTCATCTATCGTAATCTTCTTCCCATCTACGGAAATGTAGTCATTGTATCCCTTACGAATATTCTTATAATTCCAAAACACGGCAGCAGTCTTTACGTAAAGTTCGGATCCATGGGTAAGGATCAGTGGATTCTGTAAATCCAGGGTAAGCCCTCCGTCTTCAACATAGACCGTTATCTTCTTCATGTTTTATTTACAGGTAATAAAATGAGTCTACCACTGGATGTAGCTCTCCGGGAAATATATTTTAACGTTAACGGTGGGTACATGTCGATGGAAAAATTATACCAAAGTGCAAAGGAGGAGGGTATAGAGGGAGTTAGCCGGAAAAATGTTAGAGAATGGTTACAGACACAAAACACCTATATTATTCACAAACCGTCCCGGAAACATTACAAGACCCAAAGAACCTATGTGGACGGACTTGCACAGCAGATTCAAATGGACCTTGTGGATATGAGTAAATTTAGCCACGGGAATAAGGGAAACCGCTGGATTCTAACTGTCATAGAGGTCCTAAGTCGGTATGCCTTTGCCATCCCCGTATGGAGGAAAAATACCGAAAGCATGATGACGGCTGTTGAAAATGTGCTCGCACAATTTAAGGAGAGGTTCGGTAGGTATACTAAAACGGCACAGTTCGACGATGGAAAGGAATTTTACCATGTAGGAGTAAAGACGTTGCCAAAGGATCACGATGTTCACTACTTTTGCACAAGAACCTTTCGGAAAGCTGCACTTGTCGAAAGATTCAATAGAACCCTAAAAACAAGGATGTGGAAATACTTTACGGAAAACAGGACTAAAGTTTGGGTGGACATCTTACCTGCCCTCGTCAGATCTTATAATAAAGAGTTTGAGCAAGAGAACGAAGTCGGACGACGACGACGTGGTTGACAATTTTTGCCTGTCTTGCACATTATCTTGCGCATTCTGAGTTTAGGGTCAGGAGTGAAGACAGATTAGAGATTCATGTCTAGCTGTTTGTGAATGCTGACTCAAATCCTTACCCTGATCAGGATAAAACAGCGAGACATGAATCCATATCTCGTCTTCGTTCTTCTGCCTTCGTTCACAACGAATATTTTGGCAAAATTCGTTGTGAACTTCGTTCTGCACGAAGGCAGAAGGACAAAGACGGGATATAGTTTCATGTCTCGTTGTTCCCTTCTGGATCAGGGCAAGAATTATGGTCAGTATTCATAAACAGCGACACATGGGAAGACACGTTGAGCAACTACCAGTGACGTCCAACTCACTATGCGCAAGATAATGTGCAGGCGGCAAAAATTGTCAAGTATGCCTTCGTCTTCGTACTTCGTTGTCTTGCTCAAACTCTCTACTAATACCACACACAGAACAATAGGAATGAAACCGGCAAATGTGAACGAGGAAAACAAGGACGAAGTTTGGACAAAAATCTATGGGTATCCATAAGCAGTTTTCCGGATCCCAAATTTAAGGTTGGGGATCATGTCAGGGTAGAAATAAAGCACAAAACCTTTAAAAAGGGATACGAACCCAATTTCGACAACGAAGTATATGTCATTACAGCGGTGTTTTGGGGAGATCCCAACATGTACAGCCTTAAGGATCCGGAGGATGGGGAGGACATTCTGGGAAGGTATTATGAACAAGAATTATCTTTAGACTTAAATAAAGATGGACACCCCCATAGAGATGAATGACCTTAACCGACTGGAAGGCGACGAAGGAGCTGAAGGGGGTGATGATGAGGTTGTCATTAGCGATACACCTGTTGACGAGGATGACTTTCTTTCTGGACTAAACGACGACGATAGACTAGACGATGCAAAAACCTCCAGTTTCCGTGAGGAGAATAAGGACGATTCCTACAGGAAAAGGAAGAGGCATTTAGACGAACTCAGCACATATGGAAAATTTGATGACATAAAGTCAGAATATGCTAGAAGGCTCTTCAACCATGAGTACAGCATAGACCCTGCCGACGGACAAAACTCTAAGGAACTTATTTCCAGTTTACACATCACTAAAAATAAGTTGACATTTAACGGGGCTGATGTCGCATACATTGATACGGGTGGTAACTACAAAATGACTGAAAACAAGAAAACTATTGCATCATCAAAAAAATTCCTTAATTTATACGAAAAAGCACTCGCCGAACACAGGGGAAGAGTTAAAAGTGTAGTCGAAGAGGAGACCGGAGGAGAAGCATCAGGAGTAAACGCGGAAGAGATTTTCGAAGACGCTGAGGAGGAATTCCGCCAGGAAGTCATCAATGCAGGCGATAACCTCGTGGAACACGCAAGGGAGTTAGGAGAAAGGGGGAAAATAACCACACAGGAGAGGAGGGAATTTGCGGGAGTAACCGCTCCCAAAGGACCACCCGAAGTCAGGATTAAAGCCTTAAGGGAACAGAAGAAAGTATTCGAAACCAATATAGAACTCCAAACAGATCCCGAAAGACAACAGATTATGCAAGAGGGCAGGGATGTTGCCGAACAGGGTATAGATAACGCCAACCTAGAGATGGGTCAGCAACCCGAAACGGAGGAGGGAAAACACAGGTATAGGGAAATAGTAAGAGAAAATATCAGGACAAAATTCGAAAGATTCCGCAAATGGGCAAAGGAAAACCTAGGCGCACTAGCCGCTATTGCTATTTCCATCGCTGGAATAATTACTACGGTTGTGGTAGCTGGGAAGAAAGCCATCGTAGGAGCCTCCAAAGGATTAGGAGCCATAGGAAAAGCATTGGCTGGACTTGCAAAATCCGCACTACCAATCCTAGTACCCATCCTAAATTTACTAAGTACTATCTTAAGCTGGGGAGCTAAAGGTCTCGCCTTCCTTGCCCAAAACCTATGGATCGTAGCAGTCCTAATTTCCGGAGCTATATACAAGTATCTACAAAGTAGACGGAAGAAATAAAGTTATACTATAATAAAAACATAATGGACCGGACAGCTGAACTTATGCCTAACTTCCGGCGCATGAATAGGACGGAAATTACTGGGTATAGGACCAGACATGTTCTAACCTTCAATCCTAATTCTGCCAAACCCGGAGAAGAAAATTACGTTAATATTCCAAAACTGAAAGCCGACTCCGTTCTCGTACCGGATAGTATGGCTTTAGTTTTTGACTTTACGAACAGTAATACAAAATCCTGGTTTAGGAACAACCTAGGAAAACTACTACAGAAAAGACTGGAAATGCAACTCGCCGGTGAAAAGGTCTACGACAACAGCGGGGAAAGCCTACTGGAGGTCTACAAAGACCTACGGCTACACAACAAGCAGCGCGACGATATGGTGGAGGACGGTATCGCCAGCGAAGACACGAGGAAGAAAATATCCAAAGATGACGCCGCTAACGCTGATGCAGAGGCTACCGCATTGTTTGGAGTGTTTGGGACAAAACAGAAAATCCGGATCAACAAAATCCTCAAAGACCATGGACTTTATGCCCCACACAACATGACAAACGACTTACAATATGTGATCACCCTACCCACAGCGGCTGAAATCATGAACGCACAGGGTGGGGAATCTGTGGAAGGATACACCCTAGAAAACATCGAACTGGAATACGAGTCCATCGACAACATCGATCTCGCAAGGAAATCCGAGGGTTTGTATGGATCCGAACGCGAGTTATCCTTCGAACACGCTACCCTAATGAAGAAAACGGAATGGAGCAAAGATTCCACCATCATCAACGAAACGATCAACTTACGACGCAGGAGTATGAAAGCCGTCGTCATGCTATTCACAAACAAGACGAAGACGGACAGCGAGGAATATATCTACCCCAACATCGAAAAGGTCAGAGTAACCGTAGAAGGCGTTCCTAATGCAGTCTATAGCCAGGGTATCCCGAAAACAAGGCTATACGAGGAGGCAAGGCGACTGTTCGGTACCAACGATATCAATCACCAGACACTGTCCGGATTCTTCAAAGACAAGAAAATCGCATTGGTCATCGATCTCAGAACTGCAAGCGACGCCAACACATATGGAAACGGTGCTAAAATCCAGAACACTCAGTCTGGAATATTGGTGGAAATCACAAAGAAAGCCACAACTGCAGACGTTGTATGTTACTTGTTCGTCCTTTCCGACGGCGTTATAAAGATCACAAACGGACAACTTGCTGGAATAAAGTACTAAATTATTCGAAAACTACAGATTTCCATACTCGACAGAGTTTGGAAAATGTTTTCATACTTAATCACCGGTCTCCTCGGAAGGTGGCTGTTCGGGTGCTCTACGATAGACGTGCTTCACCGCCGTCACTCCACCGCTAACAATACCCAGGTAGGGTATGTATGGGGACAGCTTTGCTACTACACTTTTAACATCGCTCTTAAGAGTGAATGTCAGTAAAAATCGAACATATGAGACATTTCGCGGCCACGACTGAAAAATCGATTTTGCTCAAATTTTGCCCAGATATACCTTATTATATCGGAAAATGCACCATATATTATTTTGGGTCAAATGCTTTTTTAAGTTTGAGAAAATGCCGTTTTAACACGACCACCCTAAATCGCCATTTTTTCTGGGAAAATATGAGCTGATTTTACAGATAAATTTCACGACGACAACCGTTTGTAATCGATCTAAAACCCTAAAAATCTTGTTTTCGGTTATTCAAAGGACGGTATATATGACTCACAGGAAATCTGAATTACTTTTAGGGATAGATATAATCGTAGTTTTGGAGCACACTATCTTACTTCATTTACGATACCCTCTTAACAAAATCGATTTTCACCATGCGATAAAGCTCCAAATCGATCATGCTTCTAGTGGTTGGCTCTTTAATAAGCAAGCTTTCAATTGACGTAAATACTTATTTTGGCAAATGAATACGCGATAAACGACAGCGCGTTGAAATCGGCCGTTTTTGACGTCTTGCAAGTCAAACGCTGTTAATTTACATACCGTCGAAGTAAACAATTTAATCAAGTATTTTAAGTATTTTACCTTTTGAGAAGAAGATATATTCTTGAATGGAGACTTTTTACCTTGCTTAGTTTAAAATTGGTCCAAAAATCCCGAGATATTTGTAAAATATCATCATATACAGGTATTTTGAAATATAATATTGTTGTCAGTTGCATGACAACTTCAGATCATTGTTCAATATTGTCTACTTTTAATAGCGCAAACATACAAATCGATGAGCTGTTTAGGGATTTTATATTTGTTACTAAATTTCCCAAAATTAGAACTTCAATTGACAATTGTTGTTTTGTTCCAGTTTGCATTGATCCATATAATGTACCATTTAGTATTTACATATCGACTATCGAGTAATATCGAGTATAAATGTTTACGAATACATAAGTTAATTATTAAGCAGCTGTTAATAGCGTGCGTGTGAAATGAACATTTATCCATACAAGGATTTGTTATTTTATTATATATTCTACCACCTCAAACTCAAATTATAGGCATATAGCAAATATTGTAGTTTAGAATAATGTGTGTTTACTTTGATGCACAGTTAAAATAATCAGTAAAATTACTTTATTTTGATACACTAATGTCTATTGATCTTATTATATTTCACAAGTACTAGTACA